CAGTAAGCCTTACATCATTGCACTCCAGCCTAGGAGACAGAGCAAGACCCTGTCTCTAAAAGCTGAAGGGGGAAAAAAAGTCCAAAACCCCAAACCTCCAAAGGACTGAGTTCTGGGAGCTTTTGGATAGCTGAGCATGCAGAGGTTCCTGGGGAGTGGCACACAGGGCAGCCAGGGCAGCTCCACGCCCTTCCCACATGCCTTGCCCTATGCACCTCTTCCGGCTGGAGGTTCGTCCGCATCCTTTGCAGTATCCTTCCTGTCTGTCTGCAGGAAGGTGATATTTGTCTCTCTGAGGTTATTATTAATAGTAACTTTCAGTGCCAGTGAATGGTGTGACACCTCACTGGTCTATGATTTTAGCTGTCCTGGATTTGGGGTTTCTGAGAGTAAGTCTTTCCTCTTTCTGCCCCTGTAAAGGAGCCTCTTTTTTAGGGACTCCTGACTCATGGTCAGCTTCATGCCAGCCTTTCATTTTACTTTCTCTCGTGCTGCCTGTGTTTGGAGAGTAGAGGCACAGTGAAGCTTCTCAGCCCATTTGCTGCCGCAGTGACAGCAGTAGGCTGTGGTGGGTAGGACGGGGTGGGGTAGGACAGGGTCCGGTGGGTAGGGCAGGGAGAGGGGCCCCCATTGCACCTGGGCTTTTTCTTTGGGTTGATAACGATAGTTCATCCTTCATCTCCATGCGACTTTGAAAAAAATCACTCTGTCTGAGCTCCGTGACCTCATCTGTGCAACTCCTTTTAAAAATTATTCTTAGAAGAACCCCAATGAATAAGCAAAAGTGGAGCTCTGACGTGTTAATCCTCGCCCCTCAACTCCAGCTCAGGGGAGCCTGAGAGGTTCCTGGGGCGGAGGGGCCTGCAGTCCTCCCTCTAGGCCTCTGGCAAACCTTTCCCAGGGCTGCTGCTGAAGGCCTTGCCACTTCACTGGTCCTGTGTGAATCCTAACACCCCTCCCGTCCTGCCAGTGCCCTCTCCACCACCCCTTTCCCTGCCCCCCGTGGCTGGAACGGACATCATGGGAAGTGGAATAGAACCTCAGGGTTTGCTGTCCACTTGATGCCCTGCTGCCGCTTGTTGGAGGGGTCACGTGACTGCACAGCGTGAGGAATGGGAGCTGCTCACTTCTTGGGTTATTGCTTTTTTTTTCTTGACACCAAGAAAAAATTCCAACCCCGTAGGCAGCTCCCACACAGTCTGTCTCCTCTTCTACTTAAGTGCAGTTTTTCCTCTTCATGAGCTCTGGTCTTCAAATGGAGCTGGGAGGCAAAACAAGGACCTTGGGAATAGAAGAATCCTTGGTGAATTACCTTATATTAATGAGACCAAGAAGAGAAATCACGTTCAGCTGAGCAAATTAGCTTTGCGTTCTGGGCCTTGATGACTTAAATTGCAGATTCTAATTAAGTGTCCCCAAATAATTACGAAGTGCTTCTAAGGTCTTTTTGACCTAAAAGTTTGTGTGGCCTGTGAACTCTCTCAAGTGTAAAATTGGTCTGTAGATGTACCCCGTGAAGCATTTCTATCTCAGAAACCTCACCGCGCCTAAGATATAAACCACCCTCCTAAGGGCAGAGCAGGCAGGTAGAGTGGGCAGGGACCCTGCAGGGAAGGGTGGGAAGGGTGGAAAGGGGTGGGCATGGGTGAGCTTTGGAGCTTCCCCAGGGCTGGCAGGATGTTGGGGTACAGATGTGTCCCTCTGTTAGGTGGCCTGTCTCCACTGTCGCAACTGAAGGGGGTGACGGACACCTTCACTAGCAGGCTGAGCTGGGCGGCAAGGCAGGCAATGGAAGGCTGGAGACACTGGGAAGAGGTTCAGAAGAGAGGAACCCTTTCTTCTAGCTGAAATCATGCCTGGGATGCTGCCCTGCCTCTGGCCAGCATGGGGTGCAATCTTCAGTGACACAAGAGGACGGCCGTTAGAGGAGGAGGAAGACAGTTCCCCATGATCACACCCCCAGCATGGCTGTCGTCTTGATGCAGCCTCCTGCTGGCTCTCCCCTCTGTACAGTATCTCTTTAAACGGCTGCAAACAGAGCAAAGGTGGGCTATTTCTTTAAAAACACATGATGCAGAACTGACGTAAGTGTTTTTTTGTTTTTTGTTTTGCTATGCTGTCTTGTATACACTTTGTATTGGGGTATAAAAATCACCTGCATAGAGCTCAGTGAATTTCACACAGTAAAGTCTGTGTGTAAGTCACACCCAGATCATTTCCAGAGCCCCAGAGGCCCTCTCACCCTCCCCAGTCAGTACCCACCCCTTCAGGAGACCACTCTCCATACTCCAAACGCCACAGATTCGTTTGGCCTGTGCTTGAACTTCATATGAATGGATGTGCCTAGAACGGTCTTAACTTTTCCCCTTG